TTTCCCGCCACCCCACCTCGGGTTCGGCTTTTCCGAAGCGCCGGTCCGCCAGGCGGAGGACCGCTCCCTCCTCCCTCTGGTCCCGATCCCAACTCCAAGCTCCTGTCCACGCTCTGGTCGCCCCCCCTGCTCCCCGGCCCTCCCTCCCCAGGACGCAGGAGCTCCTCGGGCTCCAGGCCCTGCAGTTCCAGCCTCTCTCCTATCTCCCTGCGGTGATAGGCAGCCGGGCGCAAACCCCCACGCAGGCACAGGGCGGGCTCCGTGATTCCTGGATGGATAGATGGATGGACGGATGGATGGATGGACGGACGGACGGGGAGAGAGGAGCACACAGGACGGTAACAGCTGATCTAAGCCGGTGTGGCTGTTCAGCGATCATCAGCTCGTTTTGTGTCCCCTTTCCCGCAATCGCACTAACTGGTCGTAGGTTATAATGAAAGCAAACATTCTCCTAAATGCTGCCAAACATGAAATATTTATTAGGAAGGGGGTGCAAAATCTCTATCATCGGCTCAAATAAACTACAACCTGTTTTTGTAGTTGGGGGCAGGCAGTAGACTGATACATGAGGCTCCCACCAAGTGCCCTGAAGTGGAACATCAGACAACCGAAGACTCCAAACCTTCAGCAAGGCTCTGAGACACTGGGCTGCAAGGCTTGCAAGAGACCTGGGTCTGTTTAGCCTTTCCAACCAATACTTTAATAAGAGAGAGAGAGAGAAGGAGGGAGAGAGAGGGAACTGGCCCCAAATGGAGTCCCTTGTGCTAAATGCACGTTAACAAACCAATTGCCGTTTCAGCAATAACTAACCTAATTGCAGTTTCAGCCTCTCCCAGGAATGTAATCTTAGCCAGTCAGTCTGGAATTTCCTGGTCAGCACTCGTGAGGTAATTTGCCTGATAGGCCAATACTGGGCCCCCAGAGGAAGGTGACTTTGCCCAAAAACAGCCCACTCGCCCTCTCTGGGTGGCTCAGTGGTTGAGTGTGAACCCATGAACCAGGAGGTCATGGTGCCATTTCCCATCAAGCATATGCCTGGGTTTCGGGCTTGATCCCCAGTAGGGGGCATGCAGGAGGCAGCCAATCCACGATTCTCTCTCATCATTGATGTTTCTCTCTCTAGCTCTCCCTTCCTCTCTGAAATCAATAAAAATATATATATTTTAAAAGATTGCAGTTTAAAAAAGAAAAAGTACATTCTTGAGAAGAATCAGTCTGATATTCTGAGCCTCTGCATTGGTCCAAGATGGTAATCCTTGAGATGGCGCAGTGGTCTGGCTAATGGATGCCAGGTGGCCTGGATACAGGAATGTTCTATCCTTAGTCTTTTCCAGGCAATCAGAGACTTATTTAGAGGTTGGGTGTATATCCAGGCATTGATGAAGAACTGGAATTTCAAAACTTTAAGTTCCCAGGCTAGTTAAAACAAGGATAGAATCATTTCCTCATGCTTCAACCTACTTGATTTTAGTAATTTAGCAACTTAACTGTAGCGTCTTCATTTTATTTCTTTCTATTCTTCACTGACGAAAGGGGGTCACATACTAAACCTGACAAGCTCAGGGGAGGCGTGCATGGTGGGCCTTTCAAACTCAGAGACCTACAGGAACCACATAGGATGGTCTGCAATGGAAACTTGCCAGCTAGGGAACTCTTCCCGCTCCCGACGTGGGAGTCTGTACTTGTTCTTCAATATATCTTTCTTGACAAAGGTCAATCTTTGCCTTACCTGAACCTATGCCTTTTTTGCATCTATGATAACATACCTTTGGAATGTCAGACGAATCCCCTTTTCCCAGACCCCTCTGGGTACAATCTCCCACCAGAACACCGACCACAGGACCCCTCATTGTTCCCTTGTTCTCCCGCATGCAATCTCTATGTGCTGTAAAAGTTACTTATTAACAATCCGCCACCCTCTCTAATGTAAAAGAAGTATTTGTCTCTTCATTTTAGTTTGTATCCAATGTCAGAGGTTTCCCCACCACCGCCTCTCCCCGTCTTTGCTCTCTTTGTCTCTTCATTTTAGTTTGTATCCATTCCCGCCCCCCCCCTTTGCTTTCTCTCGCCTCCCTAATCTATCCTCAGCAAATTTCATATAACCCTCCTTGTGCCTCCTCCTCTGACTGTACTGTATAAAATAAGGTACAAAATTGTCATTTTCGGAGCATTTTCTCAACCGTTGATATTTTGCTTCCCAGAAATGGTCAGTTTGGCTCAAATAAACTCATAAAAATTCTTATAGGTTTAAATGTTTCTTTCGTGGAAACGATGTCATGAAGTCTCCATTAAAAAAAGAAAGTTCAGAGAGCTCACGGGTTGGTGACCACTTGGAGGTCCCAGAGAGGAGAGTTCAGAGAGAGCATAGAAGCTCTCCATGCCTTGCCCTTTGCACCTCTTCCCCTGGCTATCCCTGAGTGATTTCCTTTTACAATAAACTGGTCATCTAGTGAGCAAATGGGTTTCCTGAGTTCTGTGAGCTGCTCCAGCAAATTAACTGAACCCAGGGTGTAGGTCATGGGAAACTCCAATCTGTAGCTGATTGGTCAGAAGCATTGGTGACAACCTGGGCCTGGATTGTCATCTGAAGTTGAGGGGCAGTCTTGTCAGAATAATCCCTCAACTCATGGAATCTGACATCATCCCTGGGTAGCTAGTGTCAGGGCATGGCTTGTTGGTGTAGGAAAACCTCCTCCGCACAGGCTGGAATGGGTTCGGAACCTTCAGGACTGAAGTCTTTTAAAAGTAATCACCACGCAGCCACAACAGCACCCAGGCACCAAGCTACACGACACGGAGAAGGGCTGCGAAGTCTTGTTGACCAGGTATTTTTGGGCATCAACCTCTTTACAACAAGAGGATGAGGGCCAGGATTACTTCACGAATTCTCCAAGCACAGAACAGGAATCTGATTTAAAATGTGTCTCCAGCTTGGCCAGTCTGGTTCAGTGATTTATGAACCAGAAAGTCATGGTTCGATTCCCAGTCAGAGCACACGCCTGGGTTCTGGGCTCGATCCCCAGTGTGGGTTGTACAAGAGGTAGCTGATCAATGATTCCCTGTCATCATTAATATTTCTCTCTCTCTCTCTCTCTCTCTCTTCTTCTCTGAAATACATAAAAATATATATATATATTTAAACACATATTTTTTCAGCCCCAGGGCAGGGATATGGGTGGTGGGCCAGGTTTTTTAAACCCAGAACCCTTCAGACCGCAGGCCGACACTCTCTCCACTAAGCCAAAACGGTTAGGGCTCTACCTTCCTCTTTGAAATCAATAAAAATATATTTTAAAAATATGTAAATAAATAAATTAAATTAATAAAAGGTGTCTTTTTCCTGGGATCCCCAGCACTGCAATGTTCCCCAGTACTGCCACCAGAGAGCAGTCTTCCTACATTTTTGCTCCTGTTGGCAAAGCTCTTGTCATCTCAGCACACGTCAGACTCTCAAGTGTGAGCAGAACCAATTCCTAAAGCTGTCACGACCCACATAAAGTCCCCAGCCTGCAAACAATGAAACCCTCTGGATAGATGATTCTGAAAAGCCAACAAGATGACTCGCAGAAGAAAGGCCTGAGGACCTGGGGTGAGGCCATTCTTTGACCTCTGGCAATAAACCTGACGCCAAAGACACTGAGGTGAGCTCTTCGTCCTGCCCAGCCCTACAGGGCAGCTATGGGTCCAAAGTGCCCAGCCGGGCTCTGGGAGGGGAGAACTTTCATGGGGTGAAGGGACCGCAGGGAGTGGCCTCTGGCTCCACGGCCCTCTCCCTGAGCTGCCTTGCGAGAGCTGAATGTGGACTTGAATCAGGGTAGTTCAGGGGCTTGGCCAGGGCCCTTGCTCCAGGCTAAACTAGGGCGCCTGGGGACTTCCCAGGCTGTTCCATTAGGGCACAGGAGCCCCTTGGGACCCACCCGGGAGCTGTGATTGTTAGAACAGCAGATTAGTAAAAGACACCCACATACACCTCATTTAAATGCCTTACATATACTGGGGACTTCTAGCCTAGCTACAGGCTGGTAACTAGCATTGTAGAAGAGTCTGAAATAAAGGTTTCCCTCTATAACAACTAAGGTGGCCACTGTAAACCCTGTGTCTGGGTCACATCTCACCCCTACCACCTACTGCAGGGCCCATGCTTGACATTTGGGGGCAGAAGAATGATACAGTGCTCGATGCCTCCTCCTCAGTGGCCCGGTCTTCGCACAGCCTTGATCCCCCCTCCCTCCTCTAAGTAGAGTCAAATTCAGAGATCAATATCGCCCAGGCCCATCCTAGAAATTCGGATGAAGCGCTTCAGAATATGTGTTTTTCTTTATCTGAAGCTAGTTTGTGAAATTCGTTGAATGCAAGAAACCATCTTCCAAATTCATTTATCGATGCTTTTAATCACTAAATAATCTCCTGATACTAATTGTATGAAACACTGAGTAAGGCACTGTCGGGAAAATTGCTGTGTACAAAATAAAGATAACTCTAGTGAGATATATTTGTGTAGGTGCAAATCAGATGTACATATATAGGTATGTATGATGTGGTTGGAAGAGTTAAAGAAGAGAAAAAAACACACACCGATCCACCAACCAAACAAATACATCACTCTAGGTCATATGCAAACGTCCTTTATTGTTGAGGGAGCCAGGGGAGTCTACAGTCAATGCCAGCTGGAACTGGGGGTTCACTACGCACTGTCTACATCAGCGCTGGGTAGAGGGATGGGGGAGTCTCAGCACAGGAAGGGCACAGGCTGGGAAGAGAAGTCCTGGTGCAGCCAGGAGGACAGAGATGGAGTGCCGAGGACCAAAAAGGGAAATCACATCTTCTGTCTGGAAACACTCCCACCAACCACCTGCTGGGGGAGCAGAGGAGGGAGAAGGGCAGGGGCATCTGTAAGGGGAAGGAGAGAGAACAGAAGTCAGCACAGCTGTCCCTCAGCCTTTGAACCGGAGACTGGGCTCTCCGAGGGGCAGGTGCTTGCCCTTTTCCAGCTGTGTATTTCTGATGCGACTTACAAACACCTGTGCCCGTGGTCTACGGCGGCTCCCACAAAAAATGTAGCGACAGCCCTAGCTGGTTTGGCTTAATGCAGCGGTTCTCTGCCTGTGGGTCGCGACCCCTTTGGTGGACCCCTTTCACAGGGGTTGCCTAAGACCATCCTGCATATCAGATATTTACATGACGATTCATAAGAGTAGCAACATTACAGTTATGAAGTAGCAACGAAAATGATTTTATGGTTGGGTCACAACATGAGGAACTGTATTTAAAGGGCCAGAAGGTTGAGAACCACTGGCTTAGTGGCTAGAGCGTTGGCCTGTGGACTGAAGGGTCCCGGCTTCCATTCCATTCAAGGGTAGGAGGCAGCCAATCAAGGAGCCTCTCAACATTGATATTTCTATCTCTCCCTCTCCCTTCCTTTCTGAAATCAATAAAAATATGTGTTTTTAAATATAGCGACAGAAATGAAGATTATATTATCCTAGCATCCTCATGAGCCAAGCATACACACAGCCCTGGTGCTAATGCTCCTCCTCTTTCCAGCACCCGCCCCCGCCCCCACCCCACTCCCACTCCCGGCAAGGACAGGCCCAGAGACCACTTCCTTTCTGAGCAGTTTCACATGAATGAAATCAGATGATACAATGATCTTTGCTGATTCATTTCACCTAATCCCTTTAAATGGCAGCCACCAGGGACCGTGTGTCCTCTTCTTCCCGGCACCGTGCGGTAGAGAATGCTCTGTCCGCGGTGAGATTATGAAGGCGCAATTATGAGCCCGGTCCCTCTGAAAGAGCCTGGGCTCACCAGCAAGCAGTAAAAGTAGATTTCCACAATGCACTTGTTTCTGCTATTTGTATAAAATACTATGGCAAAAATTGCACTGTAATTATCTTTATGGCTGATGCATCACGCTGGGGGAGAGTATGTCATCCAGATATAGTTGCCTGTGTAATTATCTGGCGGTTGGCAGTATTGAAATAACCGTCTAATGAGAGCAAAATGATACGGTCAGTACCATGTAATCAGTGAGTTACGATCATTATGGCTCTTCGCGCCCTCTCACCCAGCACTGACTGGGGGGGCCGGACCTCGTCTCTGGGCCCAGGGAGTCATGCACAGACAGTTAAGCGAGAGCCCGCTCCTGGGCCTGTGTCTCCCTTGAGACCAGTGAGTGTGGGGGACAGGCACGCCGGCCGAGGGGCCACCGTCCCTGTGGT